GACTAACTTTTCAGCTTGCCAGCCCAGTGGCTAGTGACAGGTTTGATTCACTAGCCAAAACAAATTTTTCCCTAGCCAGACACAGACATTTGCAAACATAGGCATCAATGGTATAATTATAGGCGTCGCTCAACAATTACGCTCGATTTCAGCCGCTCTCTCAACAACGAAAACCGTTCATCCCTTTTTACAAACAAACGAAAAAGTCAATCATTCTTTCGCATTATAGTAATTTAAAGTTGTTGTTTGGGCCAATAAATTATATATGATATTTATTACAGCCGATGTTTTAAATTCTGCGTGCTTTGACTCAATTTCATTCTGTGAAAAAATTGAAATTAACTATTAATAATTAATAGTTAATGGTTTCCTCTGGGTCTCCATTGCTCACAAATTTTCAAAATGGCTAGTGAAGCGCAAAAACTACTAGCCAAAATGGAATTTTTTCTACTCTGTGGCTAGTTGGCTACTATTAGTCTTGAGCCCTGTGAACAAGTTTCCAATATTGTCTGATATGTCCTGACTATATCAATCAATGATAATCAATCATTGATTGCCAATTAATATAATCAATATAATCAATAACAATGAATTGAATAATATTGATTGACCTGACCAATCAATAATAATCAATACTCGCACACAAAATGTCTTAATTACTATTGATTATCATCGATTTTTATTGATATCAACAAATGGTTGCACAACAGTAACAATTCGAGTTTAAGGGCATTAAGGCAAAAATTTTCCAATATTGATTTTTTGTTTGAGACTTTTACCACTGTGAGATGGTGAGTTAGTTATGTCAGAAATGTACAAAAAAGAAAATGGGGGTCACCGACTTCGTTTTGGAGAGAACATGTTTGGAGGAACACCCTAAATCTGAAAAAATTGGGCTTCATCCACGAATAAGGCCACAGTGTCCGTAAGCCCAAAAATATTGCAATTAGATCTTTGAAGTGAAATGTTCTCTGCTAAATATTGTTTAAGTGGACCTATTAAGTGAATTTAGTCAACTGGTGTGGTTCCTTAAAGAACAAGTTCACATAAATTTAGCAACCATAGTTTCACGCACCTTGCAGCTGCAAGATGGCAGGATTCGATGTCCTGTGGACAGAAATCTTGAATTCCCATATTGATTTTTTGTTCATTTTTGGACAATGTGAAGATAATTGAAGGCTTTTGTGCAAAAAGGTCACGTGTAGCATTTTGGGCCGATTTTTATTTTTTGCAGGATCGAGCTATTTTTTGGCAGACTTACTTGTTTTGACATGAAGAGCATCATTGCGTAATTGTTTTTGTTGATTTGCGCTTCGTTTTCGAGAAAAACGTATGCAAAAAACTCTGTTTTCCAAGGGTATCTTTTGGAGATCTTTTGTTGAGCGAAAAACAAAGAAACCTTTGTTTTGCTAAGCGATGAAGTCGCCGAAGCGTGGTATTTGCTGCTAGTTTTATTGTTTATATAATTACGCAATTCTCTTACTGTTGTTTCGTTAGCACAAGCGGATAAGGCGCTGAACGGGCTGCGTCAGAGTTTGTTTTGTCGTGACGCCCGTTCAATACGAGGTCAGGCGATTTGTTTTTCTGGTCTATTTCTCTACTTCTTTCAAAAATCAAAACATCTATTTTAAAAAAAAATCGTGCTGTCAAAGCTGCTAAACGTAACCGTTTAAGTTCGCGCTGCGTCAAAATCCACCTTTAAAGGATTCGCTCCAAAAGATGCCGCTTGGAAAACTGAGTTTTGCATACTTTATTTCTCAAAAACGAAGTGCAAATCAACAAAAACAATTACGCAACGATGCTTTTCATGTCAAAACAAGTCAGTCTGCCAAAAATTAGCTTGATCCTACAAAAAATAAAAATCGGCCCAAAATGCTACATATGCCCTTTTTGCACGAAAGCCTTCAATTACAAATAAAATCTGTTTCTGGAAAGAAAAGTAGGGGTCACTGAATGTACAAGATCGTTAAATCCAGGCAAAGCTATAGCAATGGCCATCTGCCCTATCATTGTTCATTTTATTGCTTAGCGTGCGCTCTTATGGATGACGTGGCACGTGAATTTGCGTGTGCAGTAAGGATGCGCAGAAGCAATTAGTACAAAGGTCCTTAATGGTGCACAGAAAGACTTCCACATGTGCCGGATGTCACTTTAATGTCATTAGATAAAGTAGATGCTGGAGCAGAAGTGAATGAAGGTGAATGTTGGGGAATTTTTCTAAGAGTATAAGAAAAGAGGAGAAAGTGGTAATGCCTTCAAAGTTACAAATGATCAGGGGCAGCTCGGCCACCTACAAACCTAGCTTGTTTTTAATGTTAGTCCTCTCTGGCCATTGAACAAAAAAACTCACTGTGTAAGATGGGGTTGACTGGCATACAAGACTCCCACAGTTCGTGACATTTGTACATTTGTCGTTCTCTTTTTGGTCTCTTGACCTTTCTTTGCTTCGCTCGCGTTTGAATGACACTCTATGTTGGGTTATAAGGGGGAATTTTAGAGAGAGTTGAGCCATTATACGGTGCTATAGCATGTACAGCAAAGTTTTAGAGGTCATAAGTCTGCATGGTTTCTGCTGTTATCTGGATGTCGCTTCTCTGAGTTTGACACCTCTGTAATTTGCATGGATGCGTTGGATCCAAATGTGATCAACGCATGATCAACAAGAGATGAAATAAATAAGACGCTGAACAACATCATGTTTGTGAGACCAAAACCACAAGGGAGCCAAATGTTCTCAGGTTGGCCCAGGGGTGGACAAATGCCTGGCCCCCAGGCAATATGAAAATTTCAAACGCTTCACCCCTGGGATTTAAAGACACGAGCAAGTGCCCCACTATTGCCTGAGAGGGGGATGGGCACTGCTGGAACTGACTGATGCATTAATTAAAGTTATTATATGGCTAGCTCCATGAGCGGGCAAGATGAATCAAATCCTGTGCTGTGATTGGCTCCCCGAGCGGGCAAGATGGAGCTATCTTTCCCGCTCAGAACTACCCGCCGTGTCCCGCATGAAAAATTTCCCCGAAAGCCATATAATAAATCCTGACCCAGCTTGTTTGGTCAAGATGGCTGGATATTGGCCTCATTCTTTTTTTGCAACTTTATGGACCTCGACTCTGTCTCGGTCCATGAACACATGAAAAAAAATCTGGCCAATATCCAGCCATCTTGACCTCACACTTGGTCAATAACCCATACGTATTTTAACGTCAAATATTTGCAATGATGAACGCCTTATACACTGTATACACCAATCTTACATACGTAATACAGTGAAACCCTGCTCTACGGACACCCGCTTAATACAGACACCCGCTTATAACAGACAGTTTTCTTTGTCCCGACAACTAAAAAGCTCATATCTTTTCTTTTAAATTAGTCTGCTTAATACGGACACCCGGATAAT